GAGAGATGCCAAGCACTCTTACTTCACAGTTCTATTATAGCTTTTACGCTCTGACAACTTTTGGCTGATTTAAACAACTCAGTAGTCGACTACTATGTACTGAGACAAAATAGCCTCCAGCCATCTGCTCAGTACAGTCCACTGAACAAAAGGGAGGGCAAATTTAGGAGTGTGGAGCAGAGGTTCTACACAGAGAGCCTTTTTCACTCAATTAAATGCCACCTAGCACTGCTCTGTCCACTGCACCACATCTGATGCAACTTCTCAGGTGAGGTTGGTCAGGGAGCTGGTCAGAAGTAAGAGTTCAGGAAACAGAGATACCACTGATCAACAAATCTGCGCTTTTTCTGTTTTTAAGGGGGAGATCTTGCATAGCTATGATGCATTGTTCCATTGGCAGATGTGCAACCTTTGTAATCTCATGTACTATATGAGGTGCCCTGTAAATTTACAGTTATCAAATGTAGTTGTTTCTATCTATTCTCCACAGCCAAGAAGATGTAATGCATTTTTGGAATAAACTATCTAATCGTCTGAAGGCCTTGTAGTGACAGATGAGCACAACAAATGATTTGAACTGCTCAATAGTTTGTGTTTTATTGTTGTATTTCTTATTTCACAACATGTTAAATGTTTTCCATGGGTGCCAGGTCTGAGTTTCAGTTTCAATATTCAATATTATTTGTCAATATTATTTGTATTAGTGTGTTTGTGTCAGGTCTGAACTGCAGGCAGCAATAATAAAGGCAGAATGTAATAAAAATGTATATATCATTCAACAAGTTACTCATCCTATATTTAATAATGCAACCCCATAGTGTGAGTTTTCATATGAACTACATCATAACATGCATGTTAAACAAAGTCCATGATTACTCAGAACACAGGATAGTTGTACACACACCTGAGTCTGCCTTAAAGAAGCTCAGGCAGCAGCAAAATACCAACATTTCCAATACAGTTTAATTTTAGTACATCAGAGTTTCTTGCTCTAATTTTTGTTTGCCTTAAATTCATTTTAGTGCGTAAGGTTTCCATCCTTACTGTCATGGTCCTGAGTCTGGTGATTCAGTGTTTATGTTTTTGATTATTAATATTCTTTATTTCAGTTAGTTTCTGGTTATACTTTAATGATTTTTAGATCTTATGTTTTGCACTGTGCCTCCTGAGTGTTGCATGTGAATTTACAGCCTCTGGTGTGTGACTGTGGGTGGTGATTTAGAAAGACATTTTTTAGTATGCATACTAAATCATTTGTTTTCTGAGCATAGATTACTTATTCTATACTAATCTATTCAGAAAGTCACAGGATCAATACCAGCACGGTGAAAGATTGGAAGTCAAAGCTTAACACAGGTAGTACACCGCACATACAACATGAAATGAAAACGCTCCTGCTCAGAGACAGGACAAACTAACCCCCGAAAACACTCCCACCTAGTGTCAACTTGTGTAACTGCCAAAGATGAAAAACATTAAATTCAGTTTCTGTAGGCTTTGATAGAAATTTTAATTTATCTGTGCACGTGACAGGTGAACACACCTATATTCATTAATAAGTAATATTGTACATATTATTTATTAATGAAATTTACACAACATCAGTCTTACTGTTACTGTTTTTAACTTTCAGTTTCTTGTTTAGAAAATAGAAACATTAATCTACTTTATTCCTTCAGCCAAATAATGAACATTATTACTAAGTGAATAGAAATGTTTACAGCACATTCAGTGGTGCAAGACGTGTTGTGGAGATCATGGTCAGAAAAGAAGGTGGTACTGTTAACAGGAACTTCTTGTAAAAGCATCTATCTAATATTCACACTCATACTTTTGTGTTATTTCCTCTTTTTACATCGCTTCCTGAACAGTTCTTAAAAAACCTCACATATGTAGAAATGACTTCTCTATGAAGCTCGTAAGAATGTAAGTTTTTATATCTTAAATATGGAAGAAATATCAAGGTTTTATGCAAAGCTAACATTTCTATCATTCTTTGATTCACTGCGATTTAGATTAAACATCATATTTGTCGAGGAAAAAGTTCCACAGGAAAAAGGTGAAGGATTTTCTTTTTCTCTCGTCTATCATGTTTATGAACATAACTTTTTGAAATAAGAGCTCTACGCTGGTATCTTAGCAGATTTTTTGAGGCTGAATAATTATCCTCGTAGTGACAGTAGTTACATGGGAACGCTGGGCTTTGCAAAATTACCATTACTGTCATAGTCACATATTTTAAAGATAATAATGAGCCCTGTTACTGAGTGAAAAAATGTGCTGTATCACGCTGTTATCTTGAGCTAACGCACTAAAAATATTCTCAAACATCATTTGAGAGTTTTAACAGAATAGATAAAAAAATAATTTACTTCACTTTTCACCATAACAGCTTGTCACTGGTAATGTTTAACAAATAATCATGTAAATTGTTTCATGTGCAAACTTCAGACTCCTTTAAACTTCACTTTTTTGTAAGAAGATGGCTGGAACTCTGACTTTTCTTCTCATTAGTTCTCTGCTGCAGGGTGAGTGAAAGAAAATCAGCATCATGTAAAGATTATTATTTAACATGAAACATCTACTAAACTACAAAGGGTGTCCAATTATTAAATATTTAACAGTAAAATATTTAGCATTTGTACCTGAATTAAACACTGAATAAAGGCTACAATAATTAAAACTGTACTGTTGCTGTAAATTAGTGTTTGCATTTCTTTTTTACAATTCATTGTGTTGTGTTTCAGGTGCACTGTGTGAAACGTTCAACATCAATATGCCACAGAATATAAAGGTTTTGAGAGGCTCCTGTGTGACCATCCCCTGCTCCTTTGATGTAGAGAGGAACCATAAAAATAACTTAGATGATACATGTGAAGCATATTGGAGTGATTCAACTTCATTTGACAGTAAAAATGCAAAACTAAAGCCAACTAAAGAAATGACAGGAGACTTAACAAAGAAAGACTGCACCACAACTTTCAATAATGCAAATCTTCTTCAAAGTACTAAATATTACTTCAGACTGGAGTGTAATAATACACTGAAATACACTTTTAAACAAGCTGGTGTAGACATTTATTCATAGGTAAGTTTTTATATCCATATAAAGATAATTCATGTGAATAAATGACACGAGTCAAGCTGCTTTGACTTCATTGTGAATTCACTGGATTTTACATATAAAAACCTGAAATGAATTACTGCTCATTTCTTTATTGACTGATCTTTTTGCCAGATGATCCTCCCTCACCGACTCTGACTCCATCCACACTGGAGGTGGAGGAGGGAGCCTCAGTGAGTCTGACGTGCTCTGCTCCAGCTCCAGCTCCATGTTGGTCTCATCCTCCAGCTCTGACATGGAGCCCTAACCTGGGTCAGAGTCAGGAGACACTGCAGGAGAATCAGGACAAAACTAAAGTCAGGACCTCTGTTATGAATTTCACTGCTTCCTTTTCCAATACAGTTTAATTTTAGTACATCAGAGTTTCTTGCTCTAATTTTTGTTTGTTTTAAATTCATTTTAGTGCGTAAGGTTTCCATCCTTACTGTCATGGTCCTGAGTCTGGTGATTCAGTGTTTATGTTTTTGATTATTAATATTCTTTATTTCAGTTCGTTTCTGGTTATACTTTAATGATTTTTAGATCTTATGTTTTGCACTGTGCCTCCTGAGTGTTACATGTGAATTTACAGCCTCTGGTGTGTGACTGTGGGTGGTGATTTAGAAAGACATTTTTTAGTATGCATACTAAATCATTTGTTTTCTGAGCATAGATTACTTATTCTATACTAATCTATTCAGAAAGTCACAGGATCAAGACCAGCACGGTGAAAGATTGGAAGCCAAAGCTTAACACAGGTAGTACACCGCACATACAACATGAAATGAAAACGCTCCTGCTCAGAGACAGGACAAACTAACCTCCGAAAACACTCCCACCTAGTGTCAACTTGTGTAACTGCCAAAGATGAAAAACATTAAATTCAGTTTCTGTAGGCTTTGATAGAAATTTTAATTTATCTGTGCACGTGACAGGTGAACACACCTATATTCATTAATAAGTAATATTGTACATATTATTTATTAATGAAATTTACACAACATCGGTCTTACTGTTACTGTTTTTAACTTTCAGTTTCTTGTTTAGAAAATAGAAACATTAATCTACTTTATTCCTTCAGCCAAATAGTGAACATTATTACTAAGTGAATAGAAATGTTTACAGCACATTCAGTGGTGCAAGACGTGTTGTGGAGATCATGGTCAGAAAAGAAGGTGGTACTGTTAACAGGAACTTCTGGTAAAAGCATCTATCTAATATTCACACTCATACTTTTGTGTTATTTCCTCTTTTTACATCACTTCCTGAACAGTTCTTAAAAAACCTCACATATGTAGAAATGACTTCTCTATGAAGCTCGTAAGAATGTAAGTTTTTATATCTTAAATATGGAAGAAATATCAAGGTTTTATGCAAAGCTAACATTTCTATCATTCTTTGATTCACTGCGATTTAGATTAAACATCATATTTGTCGAGGAAAAAGTTCCACAGGAAAAAGGTGAAGGATTTTCTTTTTCTCTCGTCTATCATGTTTATGAACATAACTTTTTGAAATAAGAGCTCTACGCTGGTATCTTAGCAGATTTTTTGAGGCTGAATAATTATCCTCGTAGTGACAGTAGTTACATGGGAACGCTGGGCTTTGCAAAATTACCATTACTGTCATAGTCACATATTTTAAAGATAATAATGAGCCCTGTTACTGAGTGAAAAAATGTGCTGTATCACGCTGTTATCTTGAGCTAACGCACTAAAAATATTCTCAAACATCATTTGAGAGTTTTAACAGAATAGATAAAAAAATAATTTACTTCACTTTTCACCATAACAGCTTGTCACTGGTAATGTTTAACAAATAATCATGTAAATTGTTTCCTGTGCAAACTTCAGACTCCTTTAAACTTCACTTTTTTGTAAGAAGATGGCTGGAACTCTGACTTTTCTTCTCATTAGTTCTCTGCTGCAGGGTGAGTGAAAGAAAATCAGCATCATGTAAAGATTATTATTTAACATGAAACATCTACTAAACTACAAAGGGTGTCCAATTATTAAATATTTAACAGTAAAATATTTAGCATTTGTACCTGAATTAAACACTGAATAAAGGCTACAATAATTAAAACTGTACTGTTGCTGTAAATTAGTGTTTGCATTTCTTTTTTACAATTCATTGTGTTGTGTTTCAGGTGCACTGTGTGAAACGTTCAACATCAATATGCCACAGAATATAAATGGTTTTGAGAGGCTCCTGTGTGACCATCCCCTGCTCCTTTGATGTAGAGAGGAACCATAAAAATAACTTAGATGATACATGTGAAGCATATTGGAGTGATCACTTTTTGAGAAGATGCAAAACTGCTGCAACTAAAGAAATGACAGGAGACTTAACAAAGAAAGACTGCACCACAACTTTCAATAATGCAAATCTTCTTCAAAGTACTAAATATTACTTCAGACTGGAGTGTAATAATAACTGAAATACACTTTTAGACAAGCTGGTGTAGACATTTTATTCATAGGTAAGTTTTTATATCCATATAAAGATAATTCATGTGAATAAATGACACGAGTCAAGCTGCTTTGACTTCATTGTGAATTCACTGGATTTTACATATAAAAACCTGAAATGAATTACTGCTCATTTCTTTATTGACTGATCTTTTTGCCAGATGATCCTCCCTCTCCGACTCTGACTCCATCCACACTGGAGGTGGAGGAGGGAGTCTCAGTGAGTCTGACATGCTCTGCTCCAGCTCCAGCTCCATGTTGGTCTCATCCTCCAGCTCTGACATGGAGCCCTAACCTGGGTCAGAGTCAGGAGACACTGCAGGAGAATCAGGACAAAACTAAAGTCAGGACCTCTGTTATGAATTTCACTGCTTCTCACCTCCATCATGGAAATAAAATCTCCTGCACTGCTGTCTACCAGAAACAAGATGGTAGCCCTGATGTCACTGCTGAAACAAGTTTAACTCCTGATATTTCAAGTAAGTTTATTTGTCTCTACTAATATGTCCTGCTATTGACTTACTTTTCTTGGCTTTGTTCAAATTAGATAAAACAGCTAGTAACGTAATGATTTTAGTTATTCTGCAATCATGACTTCTCTGGATTTGCAAAACATAATGGAGATTTAACTCCTAAATGTTGATAAATATACAAACCTTTCTTTTTAAATTGATTTCCTTGATGTATGATTGCCTTAATGATTAAAGTGAACTGCAGGTCTTCCTTTCTGAGAATATATGACCTAAAATATCCAGTAAAACATACAATTTCCAAGCAATATTGTTTACTTCTGTAGGAACTCTCTAATACTGGCTTAGAATAAAACAATTCTACATGTAATGAGTCACATTTGACAATTTTTTAAAGTTTTAACTACAATTTTTATTTTTTGTCATATTAACATGTAGGGTTTTTTAAAAAAAAAATTAGTTATTTCACTTTACGCATGTGTTTGTATACGTTTCAATTTCACTCTGGTGCTCAAACTGGAAAGTATTTGCAGAGCAGTTTTACTTTTGTCACTTGGCTTTATGGTCTGTAGTGGCACGTTCCATTAACAATTCAGTCAGAGTGCAAAAGAAGCTGTGATGTCTGTCTTTCATAATATTAAAGTGAACAAATTACCTTTCAATTTCATTAATATTCCTACTTTATTGATTACATGCCCTGACTATTATCCAAATAGAATTCTACTCGTATGATTGAATGGGGACACTGTGTACTGTGTGGAGTTTGCATATTCTTCCTGTCTGATTGGATTCTGTCAGGGCACTCTGGCTTCCTCCCACAGTTCAGAGATGTGCACAGGGTTTGGTTAACTAGTGATTGTTAACTGCCCGGACTTGAGTATATGAGTGTGAATGGGTATCTGTCTCTATATGTTAGTTCAGCAACAGATTAGCGACTGGTCCAGGGTGTATCCTGCCTCCTGCCACATGCCAACTGGGACATGCTCCAGTTCCCTAGCGACCCTGAACTGGAGAAGCAGAAAAAATGGAATCGACTGTAGTACAATATACAAATTATTGTAATGAAATTAAAAGCATTATCTTTTTCAGGTGGAACGTGGGGGATCACAATGCCACAGAATATAAATGTCGTGAGTGGAACCTGTGTGATCATCCCCTGCTTCTTTGACGTAGAGAAGAGCTATAAAAAAATGTTAGATCATACATGTGAAGCATATTGGGTCAAAGAAGGTGCAAAACTGCTTGCAACTAAAGACATGAGAGGAGACTTAACAAAGAAAGACTGCACCACAACTTTCAATAATTGAAGTCTTCTTCAAAGAAGTAAATACTACTTAGACTGGTGTGTGAATAATCACTGATCACACTTTTAAACAAGCTGGTGTAGATATTTCATTCATAGGTAAGTTTTTATATCCATATAAAGACAATTCATGTGAATAAATGACACTGAGTCAAGCTGCTTTACTTTGACATTGCGAATTTCTGGATTCAACAGAGCAAAAAATACATAACTTAAATTAATTACTGCTCATTTCTTTATTGACTGATGAAAATATTTCTTCCCACCACAAGATCCTCCTCACCGACTCTGACTCCATCCACACTGGAGGTGGAGGAGGGAGCCTCAGTGAGTCTGACGTGCTCTGCTCCAGCTCCAGCTCCATGTTGGTCTCATCCTCCAGCTCTGACATGGAGCCCTAACCTGGGTCAGATCAGGAGACACTGCAGGAGAATCAGGACAAAACTAAAGTCAGGACCTCTGTTATGAATTTCACTGCTTCTCACCTCCATCATGGAAATAAAATCTCCTGCACTGCTGTCTACCAGAAACAAGATGGTAGCCCTGATGTCACTGCTGAAACAAGTTTAACTCCTGATATTTCATGTGAGTTTATTTTTCTCTTCTCAAATGAAATAAATAGTAATAACGTTTAAATAGTAGTAGTAATGTATTTAGTAATAAATACAGTTATCTAGATCTGTTATTTATTCTCTCTAAGAGTAAAACTACATTTAGTCAGTCACATTTGACAGTTGCTTTTCACTTTACAGTTTTAAGTTTCAGAGTTTCACTTACTATATATAGTATCATGTATTTTCCCCAAGTTATGATATTTGTTTTGCGAATACACAACCAGTAAAACAGAATTATTAAAAAAAAAAATTCAGATAACTGTTATGTGATGTGAGAATGAGGCCCCAGTTCCAGACTCAGGCCACAGATAGTAAATAAAAAATCAACCTTTGTTCAGGTGTAGCAGAAAAATCCAGATGGTAGCCAATAAAGTCTTTGAATGCAAACCAGGACAAATGTGAGTGAGAAAATGAATATTCAACAGTTCCAATGCAACAAAGAAATGTGGGTAGATAGAGGCAATGAATACACACTCATTAAATATGGATGATGAACACAACTGGGTAAAGTGGGACTGTAGCTCAGGGGAGGTGAGGTTGGTTGGCTTTAGCTCAGGAGGGGTGGCTGGGGTGAGTGCAGCTCAGGGCTGTGCAGAGATGTTTAAAGGGGCGGTGCTCAAAGTTAAAAAGGGGCACATAGAACCAGGCGGAAGCCACACCCACCAACCATCAGGAATCTAATATGGAACATCATCATACTATATCACTGTCATCAGGTGGGGACAGTGCAAAGCAAACTGTTTACCTTGTTTTACCTGATGGGTACAATGTTTTGTTGAGGGGTTGCTGCTGCTCCTGCTGCTGATAGTGCTGGAGGGCAGGGCTGTGTTGATCTGAGACTGTAAAAAGTCCATATGAGAAATGGTTGCTGATTAAACAAGTGTTATGAATAATAATAAAATGCAAAGATTGGTGACAGCGCTTGGAACCACAAGGCAACAAAACTGTGAGAAATAAACTAGGCTCTGCCTGTGAATCACTCTTTCTCTCATCTCCTATCTCACTACCTCTCCACTTGCTGTACCATCTGACAAAAGGCACACTTTGCTATTCATAATCTATTATTTAATTATCCACTTAAAAGCTCTGCACCTAATCCATAATAAAGTAATAATAGAAAAATGTTATAGAACCCAAACATTGTGTTTATTATTGTTTTTATACTTGAATACCTCTGCAATGCATAAACTGGTACATTTGTTATTGTTACCTGTGCTCTTTTTAATCCAGCTGCTGAGGGATCCACTGCCTTACACAGCTCCTTTTGTCACTGTTCCTCCTCATGTCCTTACAAGGCATGTCTGGAATATGTTATATCATGAGTAATAACTTAAAAAATCTATACACATAAAACACGCACACACATACACACAGTGACATTTTATACCTTCTCCAGAATACTGTATATAATATGGCCGCAAGTTTGCATCAAGGTGCTGATCCAGAATCCTTCCCTTATTATTTATTCATAGTGCTGTAATAATAAAGTAATTCAAATAAAAGAAAATTAAGTAATAAATATAAAATAATGTATTTATGATGAAGGATTTTCA